ACAACTGCCTGTACTGGTACATCAACGAGGAGGTAACCCCCCAGGACCCACAAGGGGGCTCTGGGCTCTGTCTGGGGTTTGAAATGTGGGAAATATCAGAGATTTTATCAGGAAATTTATTTTGTTTATTTGTTTATTTATTATTAGGATTCCCATTAGCTGTGCTTTACACCCAGCTACTCTTCCTGGGGTCCACATAATCAAAAATATAGTATACAATGTAAATTCATGAACATGTCTGACAGATGACAAATATCATAAACACATCAATAAGACGGAAAATTCATAAAAAAAGGGGAAAGTTACCATTTAAAATGTAACATTTTAACATTTTATGAATAAGTTACAATAAATTCAACTATTAACTATTTCATTTATAGATAAGTTGCTCCTAAAAACTTCTTAAGTTGCATTTTAAAAGCAGACTTATGTACAATTTTTATGATAATTACTGTTATTATTATTCATTATTATTATTAATAATTGTCATGATAAGACTTTAAAAGGCCTTTTTAAATGGCAAATTATCATTTCAGTTTAACGTTTTTGCTTCTTCCTGTCCAGGATGAGAAGGCAGAGGGGTTCGTCAGCCTTCCCGAGTTTAAGATCGACCGGGCCAGTGAATGCAGAAAGAAGTAGTGAGTTCCTAAAGAAAATGGATGGATGGATGGATTAATGAATATATTGATGGATGGATATATTGATTTATGGATGGATGGATGGATGGATGAATATATTGATGGATGGATATATTGATTGATGGATGGATGGATGGATGGATGAATATATTGATGGATGGATATATTGATTGATGGATGGATGGATGGATGGATGAATATAATGATGGATGGATGAATATAATGATGGATGGATGGATTAATGGATTGATGTATTAATAGATGAATGGATGGATTAATGGTTTAATGGATTAATGGATGGGAAGATGGATGAATATATTGATGGTTGGATAGATGGATGGATGGATGGATGGATGGATATATTGATGGATGGATTAATGAATAAATTGATGAATGGATGGATTAATGAATAATGGATGAATATAATGATGGATGGATGGATGGATGGATGGATGGATGATGGGATTATGGGATGGATGGATGGATGGATGGATGGATGGATGGATTGATTAATGAATATATGGATGGATTAATGAATATATGTATGTATGTATGTATGGATGGATGGATGGATGGATTAATGGATGGATGGATGGATGGATTATGGGATGGATGGAGAATGGGGTAACTGGTGGATGAGTATTGGATGAAAATAACTCCCTCTGTCTCTCCAGTGCTTTCAAAGCGTGCCACCCAAAGGTCAAGAGTTTCTACTTTGCTGCTGATGGAGTGGACGACATGAACAGGTAACAGCCTGGAAACAGCCTGGAAACAGCCTGGAAACAGCCTGGAAACGGCCTGGAAATAGCCTGGAAATAGCCTGGAAATAGCCTGGAAACAGCCTGGAAACAGCCTGGAAATGGCCTGGAAACAGCCTGGAAACGGCCTGGAAATAGCCTGAAAACGGCCTGGAAATAGCCTGGAAATAGCCTGGAAATAGCCTGGAAACAGCCTGGAAACAGCCTGGAAATAGCCTGGAAACAGCCTGTGCAGGGGGGCGGAGGGGCTGTTTGGTGGGGACAACACAGAAAACAAAAAGACCATTTCTTATCAGAAATGATATGATGATATGATCATATATTGTATGATATTATTAAATAATTTCCCTCTGGGGTTATTAACTCATTGACTGCCACAGTTTTTTGAGCATTTAGATTTTTCAAGAGCCACAGAATAGTTTGTGCTATGACTATGTAAACGCCGAACACACCAAAAGAAAGAGTAGACTCTCTTCTTTCATCAGGAAAAAAAATTTGTTTCTACCTTATTCCGTTCTTCCTCGACTTGCGTCTCACCGGCGACATGTTCTCTCATAGCGAACCGTTTCCTTTTTCTTATTTGCCTACAGTCTATGCTCATCTCCCATCAAAAGTGGCACTGCCCCCTAGAGGGTCAATTTGTTACTACATACTCTGTCTAGAAGCCGATATTTACGGACAAGCTTTAGCAGATCGTCCCCCAGCCACTCGCGTTGAAAAACATAAAAGACGTCTATAGACATCTTTGGCAGCCAATGAGTTAAAGTATTTCTGATACTTATTATGATTCTGATCTTTTAAGAAAGGGCCAAAAAATGGGCTTTGGCTCCTCTCTCTTACTGGGTGTGTGTTGGTATCAGAGGCTGTTTTTGGCCGTTTGCTCCGGGTGCTAACGGGAGGTTTGTGATCCGTCTGTTAGGTGGCTCAGCCGGCTAAACATGGCCGCCGTCGGCTACGCAGAGAGAGAGAGACTCAGGCAGGAGCAAGGTGAGGGGGGGGGGGGGGGGGGGGGGGGGGGGGGGGGGGGGGG